TAGAACAACTTCAAATATACTTACTTTAAGGCTTTCTATATACACTTAAAGTGTACCAAGTATATTTTAAGTTGTTCCACTTTAGTATTTAAAAGTTTACTTAATACACTTAAAATTGTGCTTTTGTACAACTTAAATACAACTAAAGTATATTTAGTATTAAATTAGTTGTTCCCAAGTAGCACTCTTTAAGTATACTGATGATTAGTGTGGCTTCAAGTATACTTAGATTTAGTAACCTCAGTATAATATTTTTTCACTTGGGAGAGTATTAATGTACAGGAAAGTAGTAACACACAAACACAAGTGACATCCAGTTTTATTATTTTTCACTTCAAACCAAATTACATCTGCTTGTTGTAGATGGCAACAGTAACATTTCTATAACATGTAAATGAATTTGTGATCAGTAGAAACAGTTGTTTCATCATATCAGTAGCTCATGATGATTACTGAGAGCTCAAAAAAGTAAAAAAAAAGGGAGAAAGAAAACAAATAAACAACTGGAATTTATTCTGAGATTGAAGACATTCTGCTTCCCATCCAGGAAGCTTTTTCTGTTCACAATGTCTGAAGTGTGTCGGAGTTCCAAGCTTTAAAGAGCAGAATGAGAGGCCTTGTTGTGTAACTGATCAAATTACTGCAGACTACACTAACACTACTCACCTCTCACTATGAAGAACAATCATGATCTCTGTTTGGCTCACAGGTGAGATGGTTTTTGGTCACATGAATGTGTGAATGACAGTGAAACTGTCAGGATATGTGGTGGAACCTAAAATGCAGGCAGACAGGATGACTTGAAGGTGGAACCAAAAAAACTGAGGAAAAAGGCTGACGTGGCAGCAAAGGACTAACAAACATACCAAAGAGGAACAACATGAACACAAAAAGGGCTTGGTGCATGATATTCAAGGGCGTAACTTTCTGAAGGACTGGTGTGGACATGTTCCCACCAACTTTGGACAAACAGGTACCCCACAGTAGGCAGCAGCAACTGCTGTGTTTACCTTTTTCTGAGAAAAAAAAAGTAGCTTCCTCTCTTCTGCCCCCTCCACGCACCTGCTGGTGCTTCTCATCCCATTCAGGAGCTACACCTCCCCCCTCACCTCCTCCATACCTTCCTTCTCTCTGAACTTCAGAGTCTGAAGTGTAGACACACACACTCACACACGCAGATATGCACGCGCAGACACACGCACGCGCGCGGGGGTGGGGGGTGTGCTAGCTGCCTGCTGTAAAACAACATGGAGGTCACTGGTCAGAGCCTCAGAGCTACTGGACCAGGTAATGGGCTGATAACGTCCAGCTCTTGGAAAAACTTTATTCTTTACAAAGGACCAAAAAATAGGACAGTTATATTTCTTATGTAAAGTCAGTTGCTGCTGGTTATCTACCAGCTTAGCAATCAGTTAGTGATGACATTATCTATTATTGAGGCCTTTTTTTTAAAATCAGTTAAACTGTATTTTAATGCTAAGATTGAGTCCAGGTCCACTCTGATGATATTTATTAATTCCCTGTTATAATTTACATTCAAAAATCACAGATTATTTCTCTAATTTAATAAACTAGCTTCAGAATTTAAACGCTACTTACTTGACTTTTTAAAGCTGACTGAATTCAGGTGGCAGTAAAAACATAATAATTAATCTACCTGTTGATGGAGAGCTGAATACAGAGAGACAGAGGCAGCAGGTAGGACAGAGGGTCTCAGGTAGGACAGAGGGTCTCAGGTAGGACAGAGGGTCTCAGGTAGGACAGAGTGTCTCAGGTAGGACAGAGGTTCTCAGGTAGGACAGAGGCAGCAGGTAGGACAGAGGGTCTCAGGTAGGACAGAGGGTCTCAGGTAGGACAGAGGGTCTCAGGTAGGACAGAGTGTCTCAGGTAGGACAGAGGTTCTCAGGTAGGACAGAGGCAGCAGGTAGGACAGAGGGTCTCAGGTAGGACAGAGGGTCTCAGGTAGGAC